CCACAAGTGCACTTGAAGGAATGACTCCCCAAGAAGCTTGGAATGGTAACAAATCTTGCATATCCCACATGAGGATTTTTGGTGCATTGCATATGTCAAGGTTCCAGATAGTATGAGAGGCAAACTTGATGCAAAGGGCACAAGATGAGTATTCCTTGGTTATTGTGAAGGTACCAAGGCATATAGGCTCATGTGTTTAGATACCAAAAAGATCATCAAAAGTCGTGATGTAGAGTTCTTGGAGCATAAAAGTGGTAGTGAAAAGTGGGAGATGTGTCCAAGTGGGAGTAGTGGTGTGTTTGTGGACACATCTTCAATTCCAGCAAACAAAGAAGAAGATGAAGAAGAGCATTCTCAAAGTGAAGAAGGAGAGGAAGATGCCATGATAGAAGAGCCCAATACTATAAAGACTTCAATTCCAGCAAGATACAACAAGGACAATGAAGAGAATGAAGATGAAGAATACCAACCAATGAGTAAGACAAAGAACTCCATGAGCCATACAAGGCAGCAAGAGGTGCATGAAGACTCATCCTCCTTGCATGAAAGAAGATATCTAACACGTGAGAGAAGACCACAAGGTGAATGGTGGAAGAACCACATCTTTCTACAAGTAAGTGAAGACCATGCCAATGTTGCTCTTCTTGATGATCCATTGACTTTGTATGATACAATGAGGTGTGGTGATGCAATGAAGTGAAAGATTGCCATGCAAGAAGAATACAAATCTCTTATGGACAATGAGACATGGGAGTTGACTCCACTTCCACCAAATCAATCAACAATTGGATGTAAGTGGGTGTTTAAAACCAAAAGAGATGCTATGGACAATGTTGTGAGGTACAAGGCAAGATTGGTTGCCAAAGGCTACTCACAAGTTGCTGGAGTGGACTTTAATGAGACATTTGCACCCGTGGCCAAGTTCACCACCATTAGAATCATAGTAGCAATTAGAGCATCAATGGACCTTGAGATGCATCAAATGGACATCAAGACAGCATTTTTGAATGGAGAATTGGAAGAAGACATCTACATGGAGCAACCTCAAGGATTCATTGAACAAGACAAACACCACCTTGTTTGCAAGTTGAAGAAGTCATTGTATGGACTCAAGCAATCACCAAGAGCATGGTACCAACGCATTGACTCATTCTTTGTGAAGGAAGGTTTTGTAAGGAGTGAAGCTGACCATTCTTTGTATGTATTGCAAGCCAAGGACTTCTTGCTGGTTGTGATCCTCTATGTAGATGATTTAATCATCTTAAGCAACACCATGGTAAGATTGGATTGGTTGAAGAAGAAATTGGAGGGAAAGTTTGAGATGAGTGATTTGGGAGAGCTCCATTATTGTTTGGGTGTGGAATTCACAAGAAGTAGAGAATCAAAGACCATCACATTGAGCCAAAGCAAGTACATTGAAGAAGTGTTGAAACGATTCAACATGGGAGATTGCAAGTCCATTGGAACTCCTTTGGAGGCCAACTTGAAGTTGATGAAGTTTACGGATGAGGAGTATGCTGAAGTTGAGCATCAAATGCAAGGCATACCATACAAGGCAGCAGTAGGCTCACTCATGTATGCAATGGTAGGCATAAGGATGGATCTTGCATTTGCAGTAAGTGTTGTAAGCCAACACATGGCAAAACCAGGTCCTATGCATTGGACAACCATCAAGAGAATCATGAGGTACTTGAAAGGCTCTTTGAACCTCAAACTATGTCTTGGAGGAGATAATATTACATTACATGGATATTGTAATGCGGATTGGACTGGAGATGCAAACGATAGAAGGTCAACAACGGGCTATGTATTCTTTGTTAGAGTGGGAGCAATATCTTGGAATTGCAAGAGACAATGAACAATTGTAAGGTCCACAATGGAGGCGGAGTACATGGCAGCAAGTCATGGAGCAATGGAGGCAATTTGGTTGAGGTTGTTATTGGAAGATATTGGACTTGTGCAATTGGAGGTCACTCCATTGAGGTGTCACAATCAAGGATGTCTTGCTTTTGCAAAGAATCCAAAGCATCATGCAAGAACCAAGCACATTGATATTCAGCATCATTTCACAAGAGAGAAGATAGAGATGGGGGTTATTGATATGATGTATTGTGAAACCAAAGACATGTTGGCTGATTTGTTGACAAAAGCCTTAGTTAGAGAAAGACACAACAAGTTGAGTAAGGCATTAAGATTGATAAGTAATTGACCAATAGCAAAGTGGGAGTGTTGAAGGAAAGAACTCTTTAAGTAGTTGCTAATAGTCAATAGAGTACAAGTGTTGTTAGGGATATCCCATAAGGTTAGGTGCTGGTCTATAGTGCATTAGAGTACAAGGGGAGGGCTGGTCCTAGGAGATATCCCATATGGGTTGTAGCACTTGGTACCTTGGTACTAGTATATAGGGAAAGGATTGGCATGGGAAGAATAATCTCATACCACACTCTATTTGTTAAAGTGCAATCTTGCTGGTCCTAACTTACTTGTGTGGAGTATGCTTTCTATGTTTCAACATGGTGCAATATCATACAGAAAAGGAATAGAGAATGATAAAATTTAACTTTAAAAACTATAATAAAACTATATTTTTGTAAAATTTGATAATTTTTTTTAAGATAATTAAAATGATATTAATTTATTTATCATTTTGTAAATTAATCTTTAAACATATGAATCTTTGTTTTTAGATATATAATAAATTAAACAAATAAACACATTTTCTATTAGTTTTTGATATCATAGAATAAAAATAATCGTTTTGCACTAATTTTTGTTTTACATGCATTGAATAGGTATATAGTATTATTGTAAGTAAAAATACTAATAATAGAAAATATATATATAAGTATCAAATTTATATTTTTATGTTTATATTTACTCTTATTGAAAATATCATTGTCATTGGAATATCTATCAGTTTATAAAAGAATAAGAAAAAAATAACAAAAATAATAAACTTGATCTTTTACAAAAAGACAGAAGATTTCTTATAAAAATGTCAAAAACTATCTTCAATTTCATATTCTATTACAATAATTAAGTACACAGTATTGAGTTAATGTACTATGAAGGATATTCTAATTTTATAGCATTTGAAAGATACGTCTCTTCTTTTTGTATATACTTATCCATCTTTAGTTATACATGAATTTTATGTCTTTTGACTAGTTTGTGTACATCCATATTCTTGAAATTTATTCAAAAAACATTAAGACATTTGCAAATAGAAGCAACATCTATTGTATACAATAACCAAGAAAAAAAATCACCAAATTATATGATATATATAAAAGGTAAAACTTTGTCATCAAATATTTATGTGTGTGTTTTTTTTTTCTTCTTCTTTTCTTTTTGCATTAACTATTTTATCTATCAAAAATCTACCATCAAAAATTAAATTTGTGGATGTAATTGATAGAAAGATTTGCATGCATTGTATGTGTCTATATATAATCACAACACTTAATCTCAAGCTGAAATAGTTAAATATACAATTCTAATGCATTTCCTTCAAACCCAAAAATCCATGGATATATATATATATATATATATACACACACAATACATGTAAAGTATGAATGACAATGAATGAAAGACGGTAAGCATACAGAAACGTGAGAACAAAGCAGGGAGAGTGGTCCTGGAGTGTACAGCAGCCAGAGTTTGGTGGCCTTGGAGTGAGCAGGAAGAAGAAGCAAAGAAGTTATGTGCCCCATGGGACAGCACCCAGTTTCCCAAACTCTGCTTCACATGCTTCACAAACTGAGAACAGAAAAGGAGCATCAGCTCAGTCCCCCATTTGCGAATCTAAGTGATGGCAAAATGAACATGCCGGACCTGACCATGTGAACCCCCCAGCCTTTTGTTTGAACACAGACTTTGACGTTAATAATTAAAACAAAAAACAACAAAAAACAACAAAAAAACAACAACAACAAAGCAAAAAAACAATAAACAGACGAAGCTATCTCTGCACCCACACAGCGTAGTCACCTCAGTGAGCAGACACACCTCCCCACTTTGCCTTCTGCTTTCGTTTCATCTGGAATAGGAAAATCTGGGATTCCTTCGCACGAAGAATGGGTGAAAATACTTAAGAAAAAATTATTCCTTTTTTACGGTGGTAATACATGTGGGTGCATTGCAGTGGGGAGAGAGCAGCAATAAGTTTGTGAAAAGTGAGATAAAAGTGTAGCGTCGAAACGTTGAAAGATATCAAAGGATAGAATTGTAGAATGTGGGACTCTCTTTGATCTCCAAACTTGTGGAAGGATACCTCTGCAGACTATCATGTGGTAAGAACCAGCCTTAAACACTCTAGTGTTAATTAGTAGCATATGGTGTGTTTTTTTGCTAAAAATATGCATGATTGCTGAAACAGTGATTCTGTAAGAAGATAGGAAATCCAGCGACACAGCATGTGGCTCCTATATTTGGTGCTCTGCTAGCTACGTCGAACGTTCTGCCAACCCACTTGCGCCGTGAACAGATCCAATGAATCCGAAAAAACACGCACACACAAAAGGTCCTGCCTCGTAAGGTCCTCACGTTCTCAGGTTCGTCGATGCGCGCTGTATGCGGCGAAAATCGTACGTCCACTGCAACCACTACAAGTTAAATTGCCTTCGTTTGAAAAGGCGAGAGAGAGATGCATGCACCGAGAACGGTACACAACAAAGTAAAATCAAGGGTCCCGTGGGTTGCTCAGCGCGTTCAAAGAATGACGAAACAAGGTTTTCCACTGTACGGCACATGTACAATTACGAGAACTCCATGAAACCCTGAAAGTCCTTGTTCACTGTGCTGACGAACACTACATGGTCAGACATTTCACTGCTTGAGAGCGGTTCTTGACCACGAGGAGAAACTGTTGCACAACGAAATAGAAGCTAATCTGCTGCACGACACTAGATTTCTCGTGTTATTGGGCACTTGGAAATTGCGGCCATGTCTCCTTTTCAAACAGTTGCGGTAAGGTAGCAGCAAAGATGACAACTCGAGAAAAAAACAGAGCCATCGCCGTGCCGTAGACACGATGTGCACTGGGTCATAATATTCATGAAATCAAAATTACAGTGAGTGTCAATCAAACTGACAACTGCGCTTCGGCAGGCCACACAAATGCGTAGTCTTACTTTCCACAAAAGTAATACAAAAAAACCCCACTACCAGTCCGGAGGTAGCAGCGATGTACAGCAGGACGAACTAATCCCAACAATGTGCACGTTCAATGTAATCCCAATGTCAAACACAGACGAGTATGTATATGCATGGAGACTCACTAACAGTGGCGACCAAAACATGAGCAGCTCATAAGCCACGATAGATAGGGCAAAAATGACATTATTCACGAATCAGTGGTAGTTCTATTATAAACATCACTATCGAAGTCAAGCGAATTCCGACAAATGTCCGTTCAGGTGCAAATTACAGTACTGGACCTGCACAAAAGTAGCATCCAGAAAAGGAGAAAGAAGTGTCAACTTCTTTCAAATAGAGGGGCGTACAAACAATCTAAGACAAAAAAATTCTTTGCAAGCAGCACTAAGTACTTGGACAGAATTGTATGACGATGACAAAGACATTTAAGGCTCCATACAGAATATATATTTATATATGTATATACATATGTATTTATGAAATCAAAAGAATATTGCCTCGAGTGATACATTGCACGCAGAATTAAACATGCTCACAACACCCACATATCATTTTCCTTGAACACGTTACTACACTAAATCCAGATTTAATTATCCACAAACCAAGGCATCTTCGATATCTTAAGGAGACCTGACCCGTGACAGTGTATAGATTGAGGCGTTCCACGCACTTATCCTGTTTGTCGTAAGGTAGTGGCACTCAGGAAAATTAAAATTAGATTCAGTAGAATACAAAAAGTGAGCCAGACACATTACGCGAAGAATGGGCCAAAAATTGAGAAAAGGAAAGAAAGAAAAGGAAGAAAGGAAAAAAAAGAAAAACGCATAAATGCATTTGAAATTGTAACTTAAATAGAATAAATTTTTATGTTCCTATGCCGGCAGCTGCAAAGAAAATGCCAAGATGTGCATTGTGCCCTGAGTCCAACCATGAAATCGGCAAGATGTGGAGGGCCGTGGACAGTTCTACCGCTGATTTAAATTCAGCACTTCTTGTTTGAGCACTGCTTCACGATCTTGAGGACTGCTGTGCAAGCAGAATTAGAGACTTATTTTAATGAGTCTGCAAACTATGGGAACATGTGAAACATGCCCTAGAAAAACATAGAGGAGGTTTGAAAGGGCATGTTAGGGTTAGTGGGCATTACCTTTCCATATTTTTATCGGTAATGGGAATAGGAGGAAGTGGCGGGTGTCTCTGCTGATACATCTGCTGCTGGTCATGCTGTTTCTGTTGCAAACAATCCTTGTTATACTGCTGCTCCGAAATCTGAGCCAAAGATTTCAAATTGCAGCGAACCACAGTATCCACAAACATATGCGTCTCCTCGCGAGTGTTTCCATCGGGAATATCTACCATATACGACTCCAGGACGAGAGTGCAAGGGTGGCCTTCAACTTCGAGCTCGTGCAGAGATGACACGGAAGAGTAGTTCTGCAAACGGTGGCCCCCGCCCAGCACCCGAAAGCTAATGATATGTTTCTCATCATCCAAAATCTCGAGGCGTTCAATACTGCAAGTGGCTGGAACACTGGAGACCAGATGGACCTCCCGGATGCTTCCCACGCCACCATCGCCTTCAGTGATCTTGCAAGTTTGAATAAAACGTTTGTAGACCTGAGGCTTGTCGAAACTGCGCACAATCGCCCACACGATCGGCAACGGCACCTTAATCTGTTGCAGCAGGATGCTCCCGCACTGGTGAGCCTTCAGCTCGTGAGTATGGTAACGACATATTAGATCCTGCTGCGCCTCCAGCAGCCTCTGGAAATCCTGCCGCCCCTTTACTTGCTGCATCATACCGAGTGCCCCCATCGGATGCGTCGTGGTCGTAGTAGTGGTGGTGGTGGTGGTTGTCGTCGTCTTCGACTGCGGCTGGCTGCTCTCAGCGCCAACTCCTCTCACTGAAACGCTCCCGACCGAGGAAGGCGCCGATTTGACGCCGCTGCCCTGTGACGACGACGACGCAGGAGGGGGCTGCGAGGCGGTCGATGTGCACACTGAGTCGCTCCCACTACCGACAACGTCCTCCGAGGCAACGGCACCACGTCCTCCTTCCACATCGCTTCGAACCATCCCATGATCCTGCGAGATACCGAATGCCTTGGCCTGCTCTACATCTATCCTCCTCCTCCTCCTTTACCTCCGGATGCTTCTCCTCCGAAACAAGCAATACATCGCGACAACGCTGCTGCTGCTACTACTGCTGATGGAAATGACCAACCCCGGCATCTAACTTGCTGGCACTCCGAATCCAACCCAGTGGACGACGAAAGAAAAAATAGTATCGCAAGCCCACCATCCAGTTGAGGCGCGAGTCGGAGGAGGCGGAGAGAAGACGGGGATGGCAGCCCCCCCCCCATCACCGCGGCCGCCTCTCCTCTCTTTTTCTTTCCCTCCCTCCTCTCCATTAAGAAGCGACTGTCCCGGGTCCAATCCACCCGCGCTCGCTCGCTCTTGGGTTCCCCTACCCCTTTCACCGTGGATCCCCCACCCCCTCTCCTCACACCGGCTTTGCTTAGTTGGCCCCAACCTTGGAAAGCTTCTCTTTCCATGGCTTGCATTTCCCTTTCTCTCTTCTTCATCCCTGTAAAGAAATATATATATATACATATATATATGTGTAAATGCACATATTTATTTATTTATACAATTCTCAGTTTTTGTGATTCTGCTCTAAGGTTCTGTGTCGTTATAGTCAATGACTTTGATGCCATGAAGCTAAAGTTTGGTAATTTATGCTGTGAATGATGTTGTTGGATGGTTTGAGGGATGCCTTTTTTTCTTTTTCTTTTTTTTCATTTTTTTCGTTTTCACGCTTGACGGTGGTGTTACAATCGGTACAAGTCCCGACTGTTGATAATGACGGGGATATCAGTGTTTAGCTTTGAGAATTGGAGACTTCTGCACTTAGTACAGAATGCATCTTGGATTATTAATTACGTTCTCTAGTTTCTTATATCTGAAATTTATTTAAGCGAAACAACCTGGCCTCTAGATAGCATTTAAAAATTTTAACATTTCAAGTTCTAGCTCATGTTGGATATTCCTTAAGCGTTCGGTAATGTAAACTAAAGATATTTTTCTTTTTAATTTTTACTTTTTTAAATAACTCAATCCTATGTGTAAACAAAGGTGTTCGATTTAGGCAGTCCAACTCATAATTTCACGTGGGTTATTTAGTATAAGTCTATGCATATTTTAAGTGTGCAAATATGCATTACCTTGGATAATTTAACAATAGTAATAGTAATAAGAATATAATGCTCCCCCTCTTTCAGTGTGAGTGGGACTGTTTTTTTTTCAAGCTGTTTCACAGTCTCTCGGGTGTTGATTTCTTCCATGCCCCGAAGATTCGAAATATTCCTAGATGTTGAGGAATATTTTACCATAATGGGGATGAATAATAATAATAATAATAATAATAAAGTCATTTTTTTTATGCATGAGAGAGAGAAGAGAGAGAGAGAGGAACAGTCCAGCTAAGCTGCAAGAATCCTGCTGAAGCGCAAGTGGTTGGCCCTGCTGAGCTGGACAATCTAGCTGTCAGTCCCGATGGTTCTTGTCCCTTCAAGAACTTCTTTGCAGGTTCTCATTCATCCACCACTGCTGCCGAAACAACCTCGTCCCCTCAGAGGACCACGCTCCCGGTTCCATTCATTAGAACGACACTGATCCCACCCCCTCCTTCGTGCATTCCGTAAGTTCCCATGTTCACATATCTGCCGATGAGGCCTTCTGCGTTGCATTCCACTGAGTTCTATCCATCCACGTAGTGGATGACGTTGAAACCCTTCCCACGAATTCATCGATAACCAAGAGGACTTGAATGGGTCACTCTAATTAGCAGAACCTGGTCGAATGGCTGGCCCCCAATTTGGGCGATCTATTGGATAAATGATGCGAATGATTTGGACGGATGGTGGGGTTCTGTCAGAGAAACCGATCTAGGAAGATATTCGACTTTATGGATGAATGTAACTGATAACATTCGTCGTTTGAATTGGGGATGAAAGTTTTGTGAGTTGGATTCGAGTGCAACTTGCTTAAAGGAGAAAAAATAACAATCTTGGAAAAATAAAGCTATCCTTATTTCATTATCTCCCCATCTTTTTTTAAATAAACAAGCAGACAGATTTAATATTGCAAGCTTTCAAAATTGGGGTCATATCATAAATGACTATATGTTACGGCGATGAGCATAAGCTAAGTTTAGCGAACGATTTAATTACTTGGAAATATCCCCCATTGCATGTAACCCTCGTACCTGGTACCTGGAAAACGTGTATTTATATACATATATGTTATATTTTAGGAATATTACTCTTCTCCCACCGTTGAAATGCTTCAAATTGACAGTACAAAACAGCCTTTTTTACATTCATAAATAGTTGAAAATATTCTCTTTTAACTGGGCCTTGAATGTCATCATTTGACACACACACACACACACATGCTTGTATATAAATACATATAAACATGTGTATATTTCATGTTATTTTTTTAATTATATTTTATAAAAATGATAAGTTTTTATTCAAGTACAGGAATGAATGCGTTTCAAAATGTGAGCATATTGGAAATGCAATAATAAGTGCACTGAACAAGAAAGAAAGTGAAGAAGAAAAAAGTGAAAGAAAAAGTGTGAATTCTTATCTATGTCAACCCATATATTTGACAGGCCAGAATTAATAGATATTATGCTAGAACTGTTTTTTGTTTGGTACCATGTTATCCAGGTCAAGTGATGTGGACAAACATGTTCTATCTACCTCCTCTGCCTCTTCTAGTATACTACTCCTATTTGTATAGTTTGGAGACCCAATCATTGTCAACACTTAAACTAGTGTCTCCATGGCTGTTTCATGTCACAAGACTATTGAGGATGGTTTTCAAACATGCATTGCAATGCGTTTATACTTTGGGTTTATGAATCATCAAGGGAGAAAGCCTACTCCATTAAAAAGTGACATTAGCGTTGTGGTTTGTGTGAGAGCATATTTCGGAGACATCCACAGAGGGGACCAGACCAAGGAGGGGAGACCAGAGGGATGGATGAACGTACAAATGGATGTAAAGGAGCCGCATCACACAATCATCCATTGGGGGGGACGTGGGTTTGTTGTTGAGGTGGGCTTGGCGTAAAGCCAGCTGCGGAAAGGGAAGAAGAATAGAAGAATAGAAGAAGAAGAGTTGGGCGATGGACTCTTAATCAGTCATGCGTGATCTCTCTCTTGCTCATATTCTTCGAAGTGTGGCTGCCGTTTCTTTCCCCATCTGGCTGCGGACAAACACACATACAAAACAAAACAGAAAACTGGCAAGCAAGCAAGGAAGGCAGTGTGCAGTCTGCGGCATTCCTGGAATCATCCGGCATCGGGAACACCACCCAGCTCTAGCAGCGTCAGCAGGGAGCAGCAGCTGGAGCTGCACTAAGTTAACAAACAGCATTGGCAAATCGTACTTTGTGAGACTCACACATCTATCAACACTGCAGATCAAACTGTGCTCAGCATCGGTGATGCTCTGGATGCGATCACCCCCACCACCAGCACCACCAGCAGCGGCACCACCACCACGACCACACGGCCTCGGGGTTTGCGACGTCGCACGACCTGTGGAAGCTTCCCAACCCACGTTTTCACACACCCAAGTCTCGCAAAATCTCTCGAAAATTTGCTGCTCCACTGATGGCAGTATTTTTTTTCCTGGCGCTAACCCCTCGGCACATTTCCAATTGGGGAGTCAAGGGACCCGACGAGGGAGCGTCTCTGCTCCCTCGCGCGCTAAGTATAGAACTGGCAAAAATGGAGTGGCTGAGAGTCGCCCAGAATCGCGCCCCGTGACAAAACTTTGCTTTACAGAGTATCAGGAATCGCATTCGCTGCGTCTGTGGGGTGCCATCAAGCACCCCCCCCCCCCCCGCGACTGCAAAGCAAACAAGTTTCTGCTGGAAAACTGCAAATGAAAGTGTACTTATACTTTATTTTACGTTATTTTATTTTTATTTTTAACATGGAGATCCAGTCACTGCTGTGATGGGCAGCATCTGCTGTCATGGACGTCCTGGCTATTTAAAGGCTCAGAATCATCATCTTCAGTTGTATGTCCAGATCTTGTTGAGAATTGAGGAGGTTTGGAGGATTTGGGTTGCTCGTGAAACAGTTTTCCTGTGATTGTAGAACAAATTGCCGCTCATCGCTCTGCTGGTTGGCCATCCTCAACGGGCTACTCAGTTTTAAGGATTGAGATTATTGCGAAATATTGCAAACATTTGCAGAAATATGTGAAGTGCATGTAAATCAGTATGTAAAAATATCTGTTTGGGGATATACTTGGGAAGTTTGGTTGCCATTTCAGACCAGTTGACGCACGGAAGGGAGCGCTTGAAAGCTGGCTGATAGATACTTGGGTTCTGTGGGGATGACTAAATGTGAGAGAATGACGGGCTCCATCGGCGAAGATTTGTACGTCATCGAGATCTGACGAATACATGGATAATTCATGAACAGATCGATCAGGAGGTCCGGAATTGGGTGCAAGTCGGGCGATGCTGAATGAAACAAGAATCAACGTGGGGGTCGATGTCTTCATCTTGGACGCCAAGTCACACATTCAGAAAATGAAAAGGATTGGGGCTGCATTCATAAAGTGTGGATTTGGAAGATCTCTACAAGAAAACACAAACCTTATATTAGCGGGTTTGAGAAGAAAGCAGATGCCTTCGCGCTGCTCCATGGGACCCGTGGGACCCGTCGCGGGTAGACCACGTTTGCGTGCTTCCCCTTTGAAGCCATCGATGCTTGTGCCATTAGCTCCAGGTACTGCTAGAAAAGTTCCTCCGTGATTGATGCTCCGTTGGTAGCACTCACTCTGCATCACGAACTGGTAAGAACTAGCTTGTTGCAACGCACGTATAATGCTTTAGTAGAGGGAAAGGCAGTGCCAAGGGATTTCAGCTGGAGAGAACGTTGTGATGATAATTTCTTTTCTTTTTATTTCTGTTGTGCTGGACTTTCCTTGTGCTAGTCGGCGAGTTTCTAGAATGAGAAGCACATTCTACATGCTGGATTATATTCAACTGTTTTTTGAAGCGGGTATTTGTTGCCCTGTTGTCTATCATTTATTCTTTAATTTCTGTGGGAATGGTACGCGTTTCATTGTGGAGTCTCTCTGAAGGAAGGAGTGCCCTCAAGATAAATCTGGACAGCGACCCTCGCTTAACTAAAAAAAAGATGAGATCATGCCAGGCTTTTGTCAATTGTTGAATAAGCCACCTCCACACGACGTTGTAATCTTTCAGTTGACGTTTTCTGGTTCATGTCTTCATCAGATCGCAACTCTCAACTACTGGCTTTTGGTTTTTAAGTTCACTTTATATCATCTCCAGACTCCTCATCCTTTAATTTTGATTTTTTTTTAAAGATTTTATGTGTTTGAATTCTGCTGACGAATAGAACGACGAACATGTCACAATCTTGAAGAACATCAGACCCTACAGAAGATGTCAATTTGTCGCTACAGCTCCTGTTTTCTTGTCACGAGATGGGCTACCTCAGGTTCCAGATTAGACCTCTGAAGTGTGATTAACTCTTGTCGAAATCTAGGACTGGCCCATGCTGTACTCCAAGTGCGATTAACAGTGGTGATAATTTGGAAGTTCATTGTTCATGTACTTGATCTGGCTGTACACTTTGATGATCTGTTGCATCATTTTTTGTTTATGTCTCTCACCAGCCATACACACACGTGTGTGGCTGCCATTACGGAACACACAGATACATATGCATATGTGTGTATGTATATATATATAGTGTGTGTGTGTGTGTGTAATTCACTGGAAGAAGATCTATTTGTGAACCTGGAGAGCTCTTGGCTTCTGCTTAGGAGTGCGGTGTGTACCAACATTCAATCTCCTCACGCCTTGTTTACGAGATTATATGAATCAGGGGTTGGATTTAGAGTCCATTTTTTCTGCACAATGTCGTCGGAGTTGAAGATGGCAACTGTGGTTTGTACAAGTGAAGGAGCTCCCTCGTTGCACATTAGTTGTGTGTGGGTGCATACATACATACACACATACAAATATGCATACAAACACACATATGTCATAAGCTTGCACTTGAAAAGTCTAAGAAGGATATGTGCAACGAATCTGGCTCGAGCGGCATCTTTTGGGTTGTGAGCCGTAGTCGGGGAGAGCGTGATCCCTCGGGTGGAGAGAAGTGGAACTCACCATTGCCCATTGCCCAAAGATACCTCCTGTGCGTCAGCTTGTTTAAATGGCGTGGATTTCTTCCAATGCACGCAGCCGCTGCAATCCACAAATCGAAGAAAACAATAAGAAGTTCTAAAGCCTCTCCATAATACGACTTATGAAAAGCGACACGAAATTGTGCAGCTCTAATTTTTGCTCGAAGGTTAGCACATGACCCTGCCAGTAAGGGCTCTAAGTCGCGTCGTTGCTAAATCTACCTGTTCAAAATACACTTCCAGTATCACCATGGATCACAAAACCACGTCGTGTTTTCAGAAACCTCACCTTAATAAGACCCAATGTCGAATGAAAATCTAAGCGCAGAGTGAGGGAACATCGACGACGTAATCCACCCAGAACGAGTATCCAACAGATTGAACTTCTAAGCTGCGTGAAGGGAATATCAACTCTGTAATCGAGTGATAAGCTGTCTCGGAACTAGTGGAATTTCGATCCCCCTACAGTTGCTTTCCAAAGCTACATTCTACTCCCTGGAATGCTGTGCCGAACCTCAAACCCTGTTTTGCAAACTTGGACAAGGCAAGTATCTCACTTAGTCACAATATCATTGTGTTCTCTTAATCTTCAATCATTGAAATACGCCGATATGCACATGAAGAACCATCAAAAGTCATCCGTCACTGGTCCAAACTAGAGGCTGTCAACAGCTGTGGACAAGCTTGTGTCATAGAAGCAAGGTGTCTGAAACAACTTGTTCAGTGAGAGGGGACCCATTCAGAGTTTTGGTGAAAGCGTGTTTGCTCTTGTAGGCTGTCGGACTTCATGAATCCAGTGGGAGTGCCACTACCCAAAATCGCCTTCCGCAGACAGTCAGAATTACCATCGTATATTACGTTCTTCGCGCGCCCTTATAATTTTACTGTGCGTAGGCATGATGTGAGCACAGTGTCTCTGGCTGGAAAGATACGCATCAGCAGGAAGCTGGTTGTCAGAGCTGCTGACTCTGGCTCCTACACCACAGTTCGTCTGGAGGATCTTGCATGAAAAAAGAGCCATATAGATATATATATATATATATATCAAGGAATTTTGTTTAGCTTTCCGGTTTAATGAATGAAGGAATCTGTTCATCACCCAGCGGCGACCACAAAAAGTGTAATTTGCTTTTGCTTCAATCCCACACCTCACGGAGTTCCGTAACTTCATGATAAAATAGTCTAGGATTTTCAGTACATTGATTGAGTTCCTCGGCTCAAATGGTGTTTGTTACAGGCGTCGTGTAATGCAAGTACCAGTGCACCTGGAATAATTCTCCGAATCGATTTCATGGAAAACATCGGCCGAGCTCACGGACTAAATGATGAAAACTTCCTCACAATGGGGTTCAAGTGCACTCCAAACTCTCCGACGGGTGTACGGGATCATGAGTGGCGAGCAAGTGGCCACGGCGCGTCTGGTTAGACACCATTCCTGCAAGCAAGAGGGAAAAAGCGTTTGTCAGGTTGTGTCCGACCGAGCGCGTCGACGTTTGGCGCCATGTGCCGGGCCGCACAAGTCACGGCTGGTGGCAGGCAGCGATATCCTCCTCCTGCCATGCATGAGTAGACAGAGAGAACGGGGAAAGCAAATCCGATACGTTACCTGCTTCGTTTTGAACTGTTTCATTGCAATCCAGCTGCTCTCTCTCTCTCTCTATCCCACTCACTCCCTGCTTCTCCGTCCCCTGTCATCATGTGGCACTGATTCTGGTTGCAATCAAACGTCGCAAGTTTCGGACACTTCACATGCACGGATGGGCTCAGCATGTGCGTAGCTACTAGTGATGCTGCAGGGCTACAGAAGTGGGTGTGCGAGGGAGGATCCTGTCCAGTTGCTGCATTCGAAGCTCAACATCCCCCATCCCCACCTCCACCTGAGCTTCACTTCACGTCGATGCCTCACCTCGCCTCGCCTCACTTCGATTCCCTGAGCATTCCATTCCATTCCCATCTAATGTTGCAAACTAATGGACCAGCCTACCTACCTGCTGTCCATGCGGCTTCCGTTCGCTTGCAAAGTCGTGGGGCTGTCTGAAGTTGCACTGTCACTCGAACGACAACTCAACCAACTAACCAACCACAACAACCATCACAAAAACAGCCCAAGCACAAAAGGACACGAAGAAGGAAGAAGAAGAAAGTGGTGGGATGAGGAATTCACGTGGACTTAGTGAGTGAAAAACAATAATATAAATATGAAATGAATAAATGAATAAAAGTGTGGAGACCCAAATGGGATGCGATTTGAGAGGGGTTGTGACAAGGGTGTTGTGGTGGATATGAGACAAGTAGTGCAATTGAATACCCTATTCAATAACCAACTTTAGAGTTGTGTGTGATATTGAATTGCTTTTTATTTTCTTATTTTATTTTTGGTTTTTGTTTCAAGCTTATTAGATGTGTTTGTTTCTTCTTCTGGCGTTTGCAGCATCTAGTATTTGAGTGGCTGTTGAACGTAATCATAAATCAAAATAATTTCTCCTGTAAAAATGTGATGTGTATGAAGGTGTAATCATTAAAGAAGAATAAGAAGAATAATAATAAGAAGAAGAATACCATATGCATTTATAGAAGCATGTTGGGATATTCACATAGTTATAAATTTCTTTGAATCTGCAAGCTTGGTTTATAGTATTAGTACATAAAAAATACCAACAATAAATTAAAAAATATAATGTACTAATATTTTTTATAGCAACAATAAATTAAAAAATATAATGTACTAATATTTTTTATAGCAACAATAAATTAAAAAATATTAGTACATTAATTAGAAGAATTCCTGACTTGGTGTTCTATTAATTATTTCTAATGTCTTTGTTCTACAAAGAATATATTAATTACACTTATTTTTATTTTTATTTTTATTTTTTAATACGTTGTAATGATTGCTATTGTGTTTGTATTATAAAGTAATTGCTTTTGTCCACATATTCTATTAAACATGATGTTAATTTTCCCCATACAGTTTTTATTTTAGTACTATTGTTCTAACAAAAACAATTCTTATATCAAAGTAACCTTTTCTCTTTCAATTCTAAAAATCATATCTTTAATAATGTGTTTTTATATATATATATATATATAATATGTAGAGAAAAATCTGTAAAACATGGAGTTATCTGTTAAAGCACAAGGAGACAGAATATGTTTACTTGTTTAAAAGTTAGAAAATTGTAAGTCAAGAGTGTTCAGTTTCTTGAAGTTAAATATTATATATGTATATATCTTTTATTTATTTTTCCATAATATAAGAGAGAATAAAATTTATTAATATTTTGGTAATATTTTTTTAATAAACAAAGTATAAAGTGTATTTTTTCTACAATAGAATATTTGTCTATAGTTATTAAAAAAAAACCTTTCACCACAATGTTTGGTAATACCACAAAAAATGTACCTTGGGTGGTTTAGTGATGTCTTTTGAATTTTTTTAATACGTATTTTAAATTCAATTAGGTGAAAAAATCAATAAAAGTAGTTTTTAAAAGCTATAAAATAGTTTTTAAGCTTCAATAGCATTGTTAAAATAATGACAATGAGATTCTAAAGAGATATTAAAATTTAAAAAGTTATTGTAAGACAAATTTTGTAGTTTCGATAGGAAATATATATATATATATATATATATATATATACATATATATATATATATATGTACATATTTGAGAGAGAAGTAAAACTACTTTATGTGATGTTCTATTACATAATTTACAAATTAAATGTATATTTGAATTTTTAAAAAATAATTTATTAAAGAAATGAGAATATTGATTTCAAATAGAATCTTATTACTATTATTATATAAAAATTTGTTTTTAATGATCTATTAGAATATTAAAGAGATTAATTCTTAAGTAGATAGTAAAATTTAATATAAGATGCATGAGTCTAAATAGCTTATTTAAGAATTCAAAAATAAAAATTTGAATTTTTTTTGTATTTATAAAAATAATATTTTAATAACAAATATTTCAAAAAAATTATAAGACAAATAAATAAAGTTTATTGAAATAATTCTTATAATAAGAGCTAACAAAAAAAAGATAGGTAAATATACATAAAAAGATAATAGAGGATCTGTATTTATTTTGATTTAATATATAAATATAATTAAATAAATTAAAAATATGAATCCTTAATAAAATTTAACTGTCATAAAAACATAATAAGTCAATATGCAATAAAAAAAACTTATATTGTAATTTTATATAATAGATGGTTGGAAGAAAGAGTAAAAAATATTTTTCTTTATAATACAATAAATACTTTAAAATATTATAATAAAAATAAATAATAAAAGAAAGTAGTGTAAAGACATGTATAGACTAATGACTTCATGAAGTTTAGAAGATTTAAGTGTAGATGCAAAATTGAAGAGACAAAAAGAATCAAATATAGAAGCTAAAAACAATTATGAAGATAATGGCATAACTAGAAATATAAAGCATATTTTATTAAATGGCTTCAGTAAAGTAAGGCTTTAAAATTTGCAAGTAAATATGAAAATTAATATAAAAGAATATTATAAAAATGAATATTAAAGAATATTGTAAATTATATGCTAAATTTTGACTTGTGTAAATTTTAGAATTTATTAAGAGATATTTTTACAAGTTCATGATTAACAAGAAATTTAAAATGACTATTTCATTACTTAAATAAGAGAATTAGATACTAAATTTATTTAAGAAATTTATAAATTCAATCTAGTTTTTATTTGATACCTAACTTTGATCATAAAATTAAAAATCAAGAACATATAGAAAAATCCTTGACATTAATAAATTTATTTAAAATTTTAAAAAATATATTATAAATAATATTCTAAGATGTATTAGCTATATAGAGCCTTAAAAAATCATTTTCAAAGACATTAAAGAAGTTTAAATGGCTTCAGTAAAGTGTGGCTTTAAAATCACCATAATAACAATAATAATGTAATAATACAAGACAAAGATAAAACTGATACAAGACAAAAACGAATCTCTATGCAACCATTAACCCAAAAATAAGTTTTTTGGTGCATGTACAAATGCAAAATTTAAGATAGTATGCATAAAACTTAATAAAATGTATATTATATATTTATTATTTTTTGTATATTATATATTGTATATTTTAGTGTTTTAGCATATTACAATATGTAGGATGGAAATTAAGATAATAGACGTATGATGCATATTCTTTTTTAGAAAAAGAGTAAAATTGTTAAAGAAGTAAAAATATTTTTAATATAAAGAAGAAATAGAAAGAAGAATATTTGTAGTTTTTTAAGCTTTAATTATATATGAAAATAGATTTGAAGTAGTGGTAAGAATAGATAGAGTATAATAGCAAATTATAAATATTTTTTTTCAAAAAAAAGAAGAAGACGTTTTTCAAAAGTCAAAGAATTTGTGTTTGAAAATGGATTTATAATTAAGATATTTGAATTTATAAATAAATATTATTACAAAAAAATATATTTGACCAATAATTTCTTAATTACAAATAATCTAATGAAAGTTTAACACCATAATTATGGAAAACATCATATCTACCTAAGGCTCTTCTTGGCTATTGTGAACAATCTAAGAAGATTGATTTTTTAGCCAATAAGGTTAGAATACTTAATGTAGAATTTATACCTTATAAGAAAATTATTAAAAATAAAAGAAATAATAGTAGAAAATTTAAAAATTAGAAAATAGTAATTATATACATTAAAATTTGAAATTATTTAAAAAATAAAATATAAAAAACTAAATATAGAATTTCTATAATATTTTAAAACCAAAATGTAATACATTCTAAGAAAAAAAAATACTCAATAGCATAAAGAATATTAAATAAAAATTTACCAAAGATATAAAGAATATTAAATAAAAATGAATCAAATATATACTAATAACTCTTAAAAGATACTAAATAAACATAGATATTTTTGCCATTGGTATTTAAGTCATATGATATATAGACACAACTACTCTCTTTTCTACTATTATATTCAACATTCTACAACATAATAACATTTTAAAAATTTAAATGTTTTAAAGGCTATTTCTCCTGAGCTTGTAGAATTTCTTCAAAACTAGATTACTCTAAGCATTTTGAAGTCTTTAATAGGCCCAACTTTAAGTAGGAGGTTTAAAGTGATATAAAAAATAGAGGTCTTTATTCCATTTAAGATATGCTATCAAGTAGTATGATGACTATTAAAATCATAGTTATAAGCCTATCTAAAACCAATTGAATAACAAAACAAGATGATATATAAGAAAAAGACGTTTACATAGTTAAAACAAAGCATATTATTAAAAAAAAAAAGAATAGGATCCTAAATTAAAAAAACTCATAAAGGTGGTAATATTTATAAATGTAGTATATAAAAAAAAGAATCATTGGTTTATATATGTATTTTAGAATGTTTTCAAAAACATTTTCTGCAATAATTGTGCGTGAATATTTTTATATATGTATATGTATATAAGAGAAAAGTAAAGAAAAATCCATTATATTTATTTTATTCCTAGATAGGAAATCTAAGAATATGCTAATCATATTAGGCTAAATGATTTGTAGAAAAATCTTACAGCGTTTCTATAAAAAAAGAAAACAGTTTAGATATTTTAAAACCAGTTTATAGAGGATATATACATATATATACAAATATATATTAAAAATAGATCAAAAAGCTAAATTACAACAGATATAGATAATAATACAATAAAATAAAATTCTTCTAAAGTTTTGATAATATTTTAGAAAAATTCCATAAAAGCACTTGAGAATAATTCTTTTAAAAAAAAATCTATTGCAATCTATATATATATATATATATATATATATATATATATATATTTTTATATATTTGTATAAAAAATCTTAAAATTGTGTGTTGAATTTGATAGTTTTAAATAGGAATGTAATTAATTTTAAGTTTTATTTACTTGTTTATTCTTGCATGTAATTATTTTAAAACATATCTTGTAGGATTTTGGAGTATCTTTAGTGTAAATGAATCTTCGATTTTATTAATAAATTTCACATTTTAATAAATGTGATAATAAGTATATGTTTAAAACAAATAGAATTTGTATAAAACACAAATATATTATATAATAGTGTGATTTAAATTTCATGAAAATATTCATGGAAAGAGTAGAAATAATTTCAAAAAAATCATTTGATAATAAAAACGGGAAAAACAGATATTAACCTAAAAGAATAAAATTAACATTCTAAGCAAGTACATATCAATCTTGGATAAAATGTATCTCAATTATATCATAATAATAATTTAAAATAGATAAGTTGTGTTTATACTAGATAGATATTAATTACAATAGAAAATATTAATTTATGTTTTCTTTGAACTCCAATACCAATAGCCACAATTGATAAAGCATAGTTTTAGACTTATAAATCCATTTTTATTTTTTTTTATTTACGTACATTTAAGACAGAAAATAAAAAGCATAAATCAATTAGCTATTTTATTTTTTTAACATATATATATATATATATATATATATATAATGAATTTATTTTGCTTAAGCAGACCCAATATGCTGCCAAGTCTTCAAAATAATCTGTCTTCAAATTCTAACTTGGTTATTATAATGCCAAATAATTATTCAATGATAATTACCAAAAAGAAACCAATTTATCCTGTCCTATTGTACAGTATGTAATAGCTATGTATATTTACAAAATTGCTATATGTTTATAAATTTTAAATCATTGTTTTCAATGGCAAAAATAATCTCTAAAAAAATGAAGGATTTTATAAAACATAATTTTAATAATATGAAAAATGTAAAAAATGATAATATGTATAAGTGTCTTATTTATTTATTTTTAATCGTTTTAAAATCCCTTTTATTATGACACCAAAAATTTTAAAATAAAAAATCTAAGTTTTAGAGTAAAAAAATTAATTATTAATATTTATAACTTTTTTACAATAAAATTTAAAAATGTTTAATATTTTTATGAGTTCATCAATTATTTTAAAATAATTATTCCATATTTTGAACTTTTCTTATCTTAAGTATTTTTTTATTGCTTTAACCAAGGCAGTTTTATTCACTGTAATGATTGAAAATAGATATTGTTAAATTTACTTGCCTAAAACAAATCGTATAACATTATTAAGTGTTGCATTAGATATTAATTTTATTATTGGTAAGAAAAATCATAAAATTAAAACTTGTATATTTCAGTCTAGTTTTAGACAATTCAAAAAGTTGGGTATCATGAAAGATTTTATCATTTAAATAAGTTATCATAGATTTAGTTTTGATATTATATTTTTTGAAGATCTAACTTTAAAAACTTTCAGTAATTGTTCAAACTATTTGTTGATCAAACAACAAACTAGTTTTTAATAGACAAATTGTTTTTGAATGATTTATAAAAGATGACATCTAATAGCAGACTTTACTTGTATATTTTATACCTTGGAAAATGACCTAATTGAACCACTATATAGAAGGTGTATTATTTTGGAGTTTTAATGAAATTATAAAATAAATTTGTTATAAATTGACTTAAAATTTATCTTGAAAATTATGAAAACATTAAAACCAAATTTTGTAATGAAACTTAATCCCACTAATATAGTAAATACAAGAGCCAAAGTCCTTATGATATTTGTACCTACAAGATCAATATTCTATGCTCACATTCAACTTCGATAACAAATTTGTGTCCCTTCTAAGGAATTGTTTATTGAAACCAACTTCTACTACAATGTTTCAATATTATTTTGTTGCTAATAAATAGAGGAAAAAATAATTGAAATTTAAAATTTTATCATCCTATGAACAAAACAAGGTTGCTTTCCTACAAGCTTCTCAATGCTGATAAAAGGTGTATAAAATCAAAAAATTAATCAAAATATTGCTGCAATAGTTATTATTATATCTACACTTAGAAATACGTTTATATTGTAAAGTCAATTTCATTTGTCACAGAATAACTCCCTATAATTACAAACATTGATATATATATATATATATATATATATATATATCGAGAAAGTTTACTGCGCTATTAAATTATAAGTAGAAATTGAAATGAACCAAAACACATTAAAACAGACTTGCTGAGCATGTGAGGTGTTATAAATGTTAGCACAGTTATGTTAACTTTATGCAATTGTAACTGAAAATTCAAAATCCAAAAAGAGCTGTATGCTCAATAAAACAATAGTTTTCAATTGATTCTGATATTAGAGTCCATTTGCTAATAAAACAATATGAAACGATTTAAGATATAGATTCAAAGATTTATATATATAAGACATAAAAACACTGGGACGGTAGATGTCCAATTCATAGAAGTTGACTGTTAAAATACTGAAGAGCTCTCCTTTTTTTTGTACATAATTATACATATTAGATGCATATTAAATACTCGACTAAAAAATTATACTAAAATGATAAAATGATTACTATAATTATGTGTAGAATGAAAATTTTAAATTCAATTGGTTGAATTAAGAGGGATGAAACAACCGAAAAAAGAACTGTGATTTGATTGCAATATATTCTTTTATCTGATTTTTAAAATATCATTTGAGCATGAATTACATAAAAACATTTCAATTTCGTGTAAACATGATTTAACTTTTTTATATTTACTTGAAGATACAAAACTTAAACAACCTTTTAATATTACTCAATGTCTTTCATCTAGTTTTTGAGTAATAAATTTGAAAAATGTTTTGAAATATTTTGAAGCTTAGAAGAAGTTTTAAAAGTGTCAACATACTCGAAAGCTTTGTCAGATGCAATTTCACTTACTTGTCTCTTAGTCTGAAACATATCCTTTATATTCTTTACAATATAATATACAACATTATATGTTTTATTTTACATAACATGTTTTAAATTCTTTATTCTGAACACGAATTAAAAATTAAACGTTAGATGTTGAGAGGATGCGTTTTATGAAGGGAAAAGTAAATAAATAAATTTATATATTTTTGTTTGTTTTAGAAAAAATTACCTACTTGAAAAATACCAAACTTTTCATTGATGGATTTAATTACTGGAATAGAATCCCGAAGCTTATTTTATTTCAAAAGTTTCACTTACTGTACCTATTATCTATTATACCACATAGTCTATGGATTTACATCAAACATCTGAAAATAATAAGTAGATAAATAAAATTTCATTTACAACTACAAAATAAAATAAATTCTACAGTTACATAAAATTCATAGACGAATGATTTTTCATGTTTTTTATAAAGCTGTATTTTTAAAAAAATGCTTTAAATAAAAATAAAATATTATATTATTTTTTTGGTTGTTAACCTCAAAATTGTAGAATAATAATCTAAGATTCATAAATCATGAAATTTCTAAAGAGTAACAGTTATAAAAAAAAATTATATTTAATGATTGATTTCAAGATCACAAATTTTTTCAGCCTGTTGCAATTAAAAATTGTAGTTATTTGCAGTATTGTGTAAGTGAAAAATGGAATGAATAATATAAAAGAAGCAGTTTTGATTTGGTTGTCAGGAGCAGTTAATGAAGGAAATCATGCAATAAAAATATTATGATTTGATGCTTAATTAAGCATTTAATTTGTTATTGAGCATACCAAAGATGGAATGAGATCAGGAATGTCAAATGAAAAAAGTCAATAAAAGTAGCCAAATAGAAAATAGTTAACATGAAATCACTTAAAATCTAACTTTAATTGATAAGAAACAGGGTTGTCTAACCAAGATCAACCAACCAATGCAACAAAGATTGGAGCATTAAATCTTTAATGAAATGATTTTTTATAAAATGATTATTATATCTCAATATATCAAAGAGAAATATGACATTAAATGCTCGCCATATGAATACACAAACACACACACATTGCCAACATATCTATCTATCTATCTATCTATATATATATATAAATGTGGGAGTGTGGAAGCATTGGATACTCGGTGGGCACCAGGCATGATACAAGCGGGAGCAGGCCAGTTGATATTCCCGAAATAAGGCAACGAGATCAGAAGCATTCAGTGCAAAACCCAACATGAATATCACTAATGAAAAGCAACATAACAACTTATCACAACAACAAAATCAAATGCCAAATCAAACAAACTCACACAGAGACACTGCTTCATGCAAGTAAGAAAGTAAGTAAGTAAGTGTGAGCATGGCCAGGGATCTGATCGGGTCCGGTGAGGTTCGGGAAGCATCAGCGGCGATATGCCGTGACTGCATTGCAGCAGGATCAAGCAAGTTTGTCCACAAGCGGCACTACGCTAGATGGCAATGGAAACGAACGAGACACGAAATAATAACAATAATAATAATAACAACAATTGGGTGGGGGTGGGTTTGAAACTAGGGGATGAGGAGGATGGAGGATGGAGTGTGGAGATGGGGTGGGGTGGGAGGATTCATTTCAAGGCCAGGACGCTGTCACCAGCACTGATGCAACTGCGGTACCGCAATCGATAAAGACCGGAGCATGGCACCCTGACAGACAGACGCAATTCAATGCAGTCCATCCACCGCACGTCTCGTCGCATCCTCCGTGACCACCCTCCCCCTCCCTCCTCTCCGTCCCTCGCCGCGTTGCCTGTCCCTCCTCCTCGCTCTGCCATCATCACCACCACCACCAGGTCCATGCGTCCCTTACGCGCCGTGACTAAAGAGTGCTGCAGTTAATTTTGCTGTTTCATCAGTCAGCGCAAGGACGATCCCCCCCCTCTCCCTGCACCTGAAGCAGCAGCTGGCTGGCGCCATTGCGCGGGCTACATGTAGCTACCCAGGGCGTTTCTACCACTGCTGTTGGGGTCGTCTTCATCAAGTGGTTGTTGTGCGTTGCCTCGTGAGGGTCTCTCGGTAGTTCTGATCAGTGTCTTTCAGTGCAGTCCTGCAGGTAGCCATGGCAGCCGCGCGGGCGTTCGTCGCTGTGGTGGTCGCGTTGTGCTTGTCACACGTTGTGGTGGGTTATGAGAAGGAGATCAAGCCCAACAACTACCCGAACTTTGAGTTTCATGAGTCGCCGGTTCAGGAGACCGCTGAAGTGGAGCCACACAACTTCGAAAGTTCCGAGTTCTCGCAGTCGGGAGACAAGGTGCCGGTTGCTTCTCGCGTGCAGAAGGTGAATAACTATCCTGACTTCAAGTTCTCGGAGACGCCGGGATATGGTCAGGCGCGTGACGGGAATGCGCATGATCAATTCGCTCAGGGGCACCACACGCGCTTCCATGCAGTGCCGGACACGGGCGATCGGTTTTCGAGCAAGGAGAAGACTTACGATGCCAAGGATGGAGAGGTTTACAATGCGCATCATCAAGAGTTTTCGGGAGAGACATACTACTCTACTGATGTCCCCGTGTATCGAGGTTCCGATGCCCAGAATAGGTATCCTTCCTCATACGAGTTGATAAACTCTCGGGAGCATGAGAACCAGGGTGACGAGTTCGGGTCGTCATTCTCCTCCAACGACGCTCCCTTCAGCAACCACAGGGAAGAAGAGGCCAACACCCCGGTGCATTCCGGCTCCTCCTCCGTCTTCTGGTCTCCCTCCAGCGATCCTGACTTCGCCTTCAGGTTTGCCAAGCCTGACACGCCGGCCACTTTTGGTGACAATAGCTTCAAGGGCCAGGACAACACTGACGACAACGCCTTCTCTCAGTTTAGCCTTGAAAATCGAGATAACGCGAACGACATCTCCAGGGCTACTTACGGCACTACCTCCCGGGTGAACTCTTTGAGGAAGAACACCCCCGCAGCCACTGCCGGCCATGGCTGCACTAACATGTAAGCTTCCTCCCTTGTTGTGAGGTTAAACTGTAGCTTCCAATGCCATCTGCCAATGCTTTAATCGGACAACGTGCTTGAAGGAAACAATTATAGGCACATTTGAAATTCTGCATGTAAGATGACATTCTCTCGTAGGGTTTTCATTTCCAATGGTATTGGTTTAGGTATTGGGCGGAGCACACGAATCAATGGCCATCTTTCTTCAACATCAACACGCAAGTAGCGCAGGCATTTGGAACCAAGGCCGGGGAAGTCTATGGCACCACCACGCTCCTCCAGGCTCTCTATGACAACCGAGCTGATGGGTACAGCCAGCTGCTCAGCCATGGCACAGCGGCTCTGCTGAACTCGTACACCATGCCCAACTACGCGCTCCGTCACGATGCCGTCATCGACCAGTTCCTGGGAGCTCTGTCGTCCAGGACGGCATCCGGCGTTCAGGCCCAGAAGTTCCTGAACCAAAATCACGCGTACGGACCCGACGAGTGCCTCAACTAGGAGGTTGCAGGATCCTTCCTCCTCCCCTCTCGTTATCAATCCCTCCTGTTTCGCCCCTCTTCTTCGCTGCCAGAAAAATCTTAATGTCTGCCTAGCGGGATGGACTAGTTTCTCTCATGGAACCCTAATGGCCACTCTTCGTCGTGTCGAACTGTATTTTTACTGACTAAAACTCCGTTGGGCCGGTGATATTGATAAGTTCCTCAACGATGAGCTTTTGATTGTTGTACCAGGATGCAAGGTCTGTAGGCCGCACGGGTGATGCCAAGGCTCGTCATTCGTGACTGGTTGTGTAAATTCTGGCTGTATGGCTTGGCTGATAATGATTGTTATATATTTTTCTCTTCACTTGAAATAATTGGCGTCGCCACTTCCTATCCTATTTTCACGGTTTGTTTCCCTAGGTGAAGGTGCATCTTTGGGTTTGCCAAGGGTACTGTGATTATCTTAAATGTTATAAGGTGGCGGTTCTGGTAATTGTCATTCTGTGAAAGATCCAGTTTATGGTGTGGGAATGGTTTGGCTTGATCTCATCAGCTTGTTGGTAGATATGGCACAGTTATTCGGCTTTTGTCAGGATTCTAATGCTCATCATCGAAGGAGTGAAGGTGATATATTATGATGTCTAGGTGGTATGGATATATGTTGGTACTGAATAGAGACTATCTGCGACGATGTCTCTGAATGAGGGGAGCGTTCTCCTCTATTAATCCTGGAGACTGGATTAATGGCGGTCCTTTAGTTCTGCGATTCCAATAGAAATCTCCATATCTAGATTTACCGACCAACCAGGCTCGTTGAAGGATACTCTGCCTCATTCTTAACAGACTCTCAATCTTGAGTTTTTGCACTAGAAATTTCGGCAAGCGTTCAAAACCGGCCACTTGGATATGCGAACCCAACGTAATATGTTAGAGATTTCTTTTCTCCACTTCATCCTCTGATAACGATTCTTTAGCCGTTGCTGCTCTCTGGCTTGGGATATTCTTCAGCAAACTACGATGTGAAGCACCTTGTGTGTACGGGTTGTTACCTCTACGGAATCATCACTCTTACAGTCTGGAAATTTTAGTTGAGTTTCAATACGTTTGGGGACGTCCACTAAACTATTGTAAATACCACGTTTGGAATGCTCGAAATCCCAGCGCCTTTTTGGATCATTTTGAAGCAAAGAGTAGACCAATATAGTGTACAACGCCCTACACCTCAGCCATTGGTCCTGGTAGGGTGTACCTTAACCAGAAATGTGAAAATCGGTGGACAAGTGCCTGCCTGTAACCCGCACTTACAGCAGGTAACGCTGTGTAGTTGTTACTAGAAGTCATGTCTCTGTTTCTGGAGCAGTACTTGAGCTGCACTGCACCACCTAACGTTGATTTTAAGCGCACGCTAAAGGTTTAATGGCCGAGTGGAGCTTCTCCAATCAATTCATTAACTGGCTATTAGGTCAACGACACATGTGTAGCCTGATTCAACTCTAGAAATTGCAGCAGTTATTGTGGTTTCGGTGATAGAATCCAAGTGTACTGTATCTTCCAAGAACGAAAAAGCTTCTTGAAGGTGGTGCAGTACACGAGCTCAAGGCATGTGAGGGCATGTGTAGTTTTGCCTACCTGTGAAAATCTACACGTACAAGGGGAAAACCGATATCTGTCAATATCCACGATGGCGGATACGCTGTTTCTTTTTGATATATTAGTTCTGAAGTTGGTGCATCTTCTGTGGGTGGTATCTGAGGACGCGTTTGTGCCCTTGAACCCTCAGTCGTGCTCCATAGCTTGTGGTCATTCTGTGTTATGTGTGGTGTGGAGTGTTGAATTTGTCGATTAGATTGGGCTATGTGATTGCGTTGGGTGGACTTCGGAGACAATGCTCTGACTTTGAACATATTTAAGCAACCTTACGATATCGTGCCACTTTCGACGTGACCATTGAATTCGGAGATCCTGATACTCATTCTGGAGTGGCTCTGACGTTTCATGAACCAAGCGGAGTGCTGAATGCAAGTAATGGGTGTTTCTTGTAACTTGCTGTTACCGCTTTTTCGAAACTAAGAAGATGAACTAATTTTTCATGAAATCTTAATGAGTTTCTGTCGTTGCAGAACGTGTTGGTATGCCCATGATCGTGTAGAGAGTCGTAAGCCCTGTTCTCACGCAAGCTATCAAAGCTTGTCGGGCTAAACATATGCGAATTGAAAAAAAATATTAACTGTAGCACCATGTTATTCCACGAAAGACATGTAGTTGGATCGATCATCGAAACGAAACGATGCATGCCATGACTGGTCGAGGGCACAATTGAAAGAAAGGTGAATACCAGCTGACAGGGCAGCAGTACTTCGGTGTGTTGAATGAGAATGCTTTTCATAAATCCTGGGCTGAGTTTGGAAACATCAACTGCTTGTGGTAATTACAGTGATACGGTGCGTGTCAGGATTGGCATTCATGTCGAAGCACCTCAGATAGTCGATGAATGTGAGTCCGGGCGACTTGCTGGGCGGAGATGTGTGCGCCGGCTTTCACACAACTGGCATTGTCTCTCACCGAGATGGGTAATTGTCCAGGTAATCGGGAGAGATCTGGTCCAAAACGGTCCGCTGTTTCAAATTCGAATTTAATGATTTCCGTTCATGCTCTTGATCACGGGTGATAACCGTTTGAATGAATTTGGGAGAGATTTTTCGATGTTAGTCTTGCTCGTAAGTCACTGCATTTTCACGCCAAAGCTCTTGTTCATTCTGGATGTCTCCATGCCGAAGAGGCTGGAAACGAAAGCCAAAAATAGTGTTTTCCTCTAAATTTTTGGCTGTGGTTCTCAGAGAGGGTTTGTGAATCATCCAGGGAAGAAGGTTTCACCCCTCATCTTTTAGTTGATCACGTTCTAGTTTGGCTCTAACCTAGAGTCTTGCCTTAAAGATTCTTTTCAAGCTTGATTAAGAAATAACTACCCATTGTTGATATAAAGCCTCTTCATATTGTATTGATAAGAATAAAAGAGAGAGATAACAAGGAGGAGTAGTACATATCTTAATGCATGTCTTGTACTTGGACTAGCTCTAGATTATGCAGTTATAATGTCATAAAAGTAATAAGTAATTAGCTTAAGGTGACCCTTAACTTAAGCTGAATTGTCTTCTTTGTTAAACCACATAATTTACTCAAAGTACAAATATAGAAGGCATTCTTTCTAGCTACATATTTTGTTTTCATGTTTTTTACAATCCTATCTACTAGGTGCAATTCTATTCTCTAAGCATTGTAATGGAGGTCTATTATTATCTTCATAGGCATGAATGCAATTGTGACAATTCTTGAAGATCTTCATCTTGATTATGACACCTTGAAGGTTGTGAAAATTACAATATTTCATTTGAGAACTTAGCAAATGATAGCTCTTCAGTTGAATCTATTGGTTTTTGATTTTTCATCTTTTTAGCACGACAAATACATAGAAGCTACAAACAAAGGTAGAAGGTAGATTGCTATCTTCTTTGTATCTTGTTTCTTTTATAACAATGATTTTTTATTCTTCAACTTGATTTTGATAAATGTCATTGATGAAAAGCGTTAACATTCTTTTTTGTATTTGTAAGATTCTTTGTTAGTTTTCATGTATATTTACTAATATCATATCTGTGCAAATGAATAAAATATTCGTATTAATTTTGGTGGCGCCTTGAATCTAAGTCTTTTTCCACTTTGAATTCTTAATCATCATCCATTTTTATAGGAAGAAGTGGCATTTATCTTTTTTCTAAGATATTTAGTGTCTTATATGGCTCAAGAAGAAATATATAGAATATATGATAGATCTTCATAGACTAGAATAGATGTAATTAATAATCAATAATCAATAGGATTAACTTATTTATAAATAAGAAAAGGTCTAAGCTTACGATAGTCTAACTTGTCACAAGGATGAGCAGTCTTGATATTGTGATGAACTAATCATACCTTATCATCTATGTTGAATTATAATTGTTCTTTGTAATAGGTATCTACATTGATTTTTTTGTCATTTTTGAACTTCCTTTAACTACACCTTTAATGTTGCATGTAGCTTTGACAAATAATTTGTTAAATCTTTTATTGTAAGATTATCAAATTTTAAAAAATTAAAAGTATCAAGTCATAGATAATATCTATAATTGGTAAAAAAATGTATTTGTTGAATAGAAAAATATATCAAATTATTGTATGTAAACTATGCCAATAGTAAAAGAATTGTTCAATCATCTTGATGATAGTTAATGATACACCTTAAATACTATATCAAAACTTGTTTCATCCATTTTGTTTGTCTATTACTTTGAAGATAAAAAACCAAAGAGAGCTTTATATCCATCTTTAGAATCTTGAAAAGAATTTTCTAAAATCTTGATACAAATCGAGTTTTCTTATCTAATATAATATCTTTGGATAATCCATGATAGCAATAGATATTGGCAAGAAAAAACTTAGCTATTTCTTCATGTATAATAGATTTTGTATATAGTATAAAATATGCCATCTTGTTAAAATGATCTACTATTACAAATATAGAATCATACAAACTTGAGATTTAAAGATCTATAATAAAATCTATAGAAACAAAAGACTATGGTTGTTTTGAAATAGATAATGGATGAAGAAGTTGACAAGATTGATGACAAAGAATTTTTGAACTTGAAAAAATATCACATGATTATAATTTTTTTTTAATTTTTTTTCACATTTGAAACCACCAAAAATCTCTAGATATTAGTTCCAAAGTCTTGTTGTATCTAAAATATCTAGCTACTAAAAAGTCATGATAAGTTTGAAGAACACGTAATCATGCTTCACCTTTTGGAATAGATAATTGTTCATCAAATATAATAGATTATTCTTAAATTCAAACTTGGAAGTATCATGACACTTAAAAAAAGTGTTTTTGATACTTTGAGTAAGAAGATCAAATAACGTACTTGATTGAATTTGCTTGACAAAGGTTGAATTAACAATCAATGTTGATTATATTATTTGAAGATGAAAATGCTTTGATTTCAAGAAAATTATTTTTTGTTGATCAAAAGCTACACCTCCTTCTTTTTTGTAAGATAAAAATAGCTAAAAATATCATTTAATAAATCTTATTATTTTTTGGATCGATAAATGATCTTGAAATCAAACATTAATAAAGACATGCTCCAATGGGCTTAATAATGATTCAAAATACGTGTCAACATGAAATACTTGAGGTTCTTGTGATCCGTATATATCGTGATTGGAATCAGGGCACTTTTTAGATAATGACTCCATTCTTGAAATGAATCCACAATAGTAAACTCTTTGTCATAGATCCACGATTGTACAAAAATCTCCATGGAGATCCATCTTTTTTCTTTACCAATAAGATAAAAGCTCATCCTCGAGATTTTGAATGGCATATGAAGTTTCTAGCTAAGTTTTTATCAATATATTCTTTTAATAAAACCAATTCATATTATGATAAGTTATAGATTGGTCTGAATGGTGATTGAATTTTTTCTTGTAGATCAATTGAACAATCATAAAATCAATGTTCTATAAGAATATTTGAATTTTTTTTTCAAAAACGTCATTAAAATCTTAATACTAGATAGAAATACCACTTGGCATCTTTTCACTATCAAAAATAAACATGGCATATATATCAAAAGATGATCTTTCTTTTGCAACATGCTTAAAAATTCTCACAACTATCAGTAAAGATTTGGATATATTAGACTTATATATTTCTACTTCACTAATAAGATTTTAGATTAAACTACCAAAAAATTAAGATTATGAGAAATTTAATCTATTTGAGGGTTATATATTTTTATATATAATAATCTTAAAATAATTAGATTAAAAAGAGATCTTATTATATTAATTATTATTATATTATTATAATCTTCAATTACTACATCTAAAGGAACAATCTCATGGATAATATCTTTAAAAGATAAAAAATAATTATTTATGACTTCTACATGTATAGATTTAATTTACTTAATTAAAAGATTTTTTTATTTTTTAACAAAGTCTTTGTTTATAAAACATGTTAAGACTCCTGAATCTGATAATATAAAGACTTTGTCATGTTTAGGTCCTAAACATACATCTATTATAAAATAAAGAGAGGGATTTAAAGAAAGAAAAGAACCTTTATTAGATGCTGCACATGATTCTAGGCACATAGTCCTTATTATAACTGAAGAAACTCGTTTTCTAACATATTATCTTCTTTGGCAATTATACTCCTTATTTTGTAATTATATTATTTTTTTGGATAATATTGAATAATATGCTTAATTTTTTGATAATATAAGTAAAAATCTTTTCAACAATATTGAGTCTTTTTTTGCTCCATGATGGATTTAAAACATATTATAACAATTTACATTGGTTTCAGCCTTAATGATCAAGTTTTTGAAAACTTAGGAGCTATCGTCATTACTTGACTTGTTTTTTTCACATCAAGTCTTTATTCTTAGCATCTTTCAAATAATCGATTGTCACAAGTAATGGCTTGAGCAATAAATTATTTTAAAGTTTTTTTTTTTGATATTATTAATAACAATACATTGATGTTATTCTTCAATCTATATCAAAATTAATTAATAAGGGCTTTATCATTCTATTCCATGTTATAAATGAGGTTTTGGAATTCAACACCATATATAGTGGCTAACTGTGATCTTTATCTTAAAGATATGAGCTTGATCTCTGCTATTCTTTTTTGATCACTTTTTTTGAATGTTGCCATATATACATCTAAGAATAAATTCAAATCATAAAAGAATTGTGAATCTTTTTTCATCAAAGGTATAAATCAAGAGAGAGTACTTCCACATAGAAAGTATATAAATGAATCTAATTTTAGTAAATCCATCAAGGTATTGTAAGGGATGCAACCTTAAATAGAGCTTGATTTGTTGCAAAAATCCTCAAAATTTTGATCTTGTTCCATCAAACTTCTCCGGTATACTAATCTTTATCCTCGTTGTACTTGTAGTAGCAAAACTTCTTAGATTTGGTCATAAGGTCAATCTACTTGCCTCTTTTAATTATACAACTTCTTGATGTAGATTATGAACTTCTTTTGTAGGCGTAGGATTAGTATTTCTATGGTTGGTATTAATGGTGCATGAAATTTCTACCTTAAGAATGTTTACAAGTTTGTAAAGATCTGAAATAGTTGCAAATCTATTCTTACTTCCACCAAATGTAGCACCTATGATTTTTTTCTTCCATTTCAAATAAAACAAAACCACAAGTTAAATTAAAGGAAGATAATCTACAACTTTTAATAAATAAAAATTTCCACACAAATAGATAATCCATTCTTTTTAAGAAAAAAATTATTGTTAAAAAACTTAATAATTTGTTTAAAGGTGGGTAATCCACATCCTTCACAATATAACAATAGAAGTGGAGTAATCCACTCACTTTTAAAATAAGGCAAGAATAATGAGTTAAGACTCTTGTTAAATTGTCAAGGATATGAATTTCAAAAAAAGAAAATCTCAATACACTCTTATGTCATTCAAAAAGACTAAGAAATCACTCAAAGGTGGTAATATATTGAATTAGAATGGCTATTCTTTTTAAATAATCTAAGCAATCAAGTCAAAAGTCTATAACTAATTCACCTTCACAGTATTAAATCACTCAACAATTTAATGCCACAAAAAAAATTTCTTTTAGTTTTTAATTTTTTTATATATGTATATATATTATTAATTTTTTTAAAACTTTATTCTATTTTATTAATATTAATATTATTTTATTTTAATTTAAATTCATCCATTAATTAAAAATCATCCATGAATGAAAATTCATCTTTGAATAAAAATTTCATTCACATACTTCATTTTGGTTTCAGAATTCATCTTTAATCAATTTCATCCAATTCAATTATTCATCTAACTAACCTAGTTCAACTCTAACCCTAGTTCATCTACCTTTACTGGGTTCATTTAGTACTATATCATCAACCTAATTGATCTTGCTTGAATTCTTACAAAGATGATCAAGGATGTAGCCTTGACTGGTTTTGAGACAAGCTTCTCTGCCTCTGCAGCATTGCCTTCTTCAGCCTCTGCAGTAAAGATTTTGACTCTAAAGATGGCCAAGCTGCAATGCCACTAGCTCACTCCTGTTCTCTTTGATTCTGACTTTGTAACGTCAGTCTCCATGTTGCCTTCTAAAGCTTTATTCCACCATTGTTGGGAAAACATGCCGCCGTGCCTCCACCACCGTGCTGTTGCAGCTTGAAGTTACTATCAATAAGAAAGGCTGCTCCAATCGCTTTGATCTGCTTCTATTATGTATTACGTAAGTTCATAAAAAAACAACAAGATATGTGATGCCCTTTCCAACTCCCTCTACAAGATTACCGACCTGAAAATTCCAAGAGCTGAGTAAACACAATGCTAATTTATTCTATTATGATTAGATAATCCTCATCATTGGATATTCATAGGAGAGCACAAATTCAAACATAATTTCAGATCTACACCCTTAAACAATACTAAAACATTTAGAGCAAATCAGAGTTTCTATTAATAGCGATTAATTGTAGTAGCTCTTCAATCTAGCATAACCATTGTGCTACTCAATGAAACTCTAGGTGACCTCTTCTTGCTGTGATTTTTTCTTAAATCACGCAAGATTTCCAAGCTCCGCACAACCACAATGAACGTGAACGGGTTCCAATTGGAACAAAACAAGCCGAACTGCACTTTGATCACCACCGTAGCACTGCCACAGCCACACTGATGTCAAAAAAAACACCATAGAGAAAAAAGTCCGTTGCAGTCCAAGCTTCCACGTTGACTAACAAGCTGTTACACCGCAGCGCCTCAACAGCACCTTGTAGTTGTACAGAAGGATAAAAAAAAAAAACAAGGGGGGACTACTGCACCGCAGTGCTCCCATAAAAAGGACATAGAGCAATGACGTCAAACGGCCAACTGCTTCCGCCCCTCCAAGCTCTACGCACCGCACTTTTTCCCTTCACCTAAGGAGAAGAAACACAAAAATCCAACACCTCGCCTCTGCTTGTCGAACAATACCAGCCTGGACTAGCTGCAATAGCAATTGCACTAGAAAAATTGGAATTGCCCGTCGACGCAATGGTGGCTCTAGTCGTTCAACCTTCAGAACCAGGCAAACATGACAAGGCCTACAATTAATTATTAGCAATAGGGAAGCGTGCACAATTCTCAATGCCGCCGGACCACCAACACAAGCAAGAAGACGAGAAGCGCCACTAGAAAGCAACGCACGAAACAGAATCATGCAACACCGTTACACACTTGGTGATTCTACCGCAGTGCGACCAGCACCACTTACATCCTTCAACACTTACCATAAATGTCGTATTGCCGGCCTTTAACCATAGATAAACTGAAGAAAAACGGAGACCAGATCACGTTGACAACAAGAGCTTCCACAGGCTCTCTAGGAACAAAAAACTCGGCACTACCGCACACCACAGAAGATGAGAACTAGCACACCAGCCTTACCTGCCGCATATCCAGCTGAGATCGCCACTGCAGTACCACAAGATCAATGATCTCAACCTTTTTGCTGTACCGCAGCAGGGAAGAAGATGCAGCCAACATCGGCCGCAGGAAGGAAAAAAACAATGACCAACCACTGAAGCTGTCTGCTCTAGCCGCAGCTCACAAGAAAAAAAAAAAAAAAAAAAAACGAGAACACGTTATTGATGCAGACTCTATCACCACCAACTTCTTCGTATCGCAACTCGAACCACCAGTTTTAGACGACGTCGTCGCCTTAAGAATCGATCACGAGCACAGCTGCCAACAGTGTGCCAATAGCGCTGACTCGACGCCTCTTTCGAGCCACCGGCAACGTCAATTATGACAAAAAAAAAAAAAAAAAAAAAAAGAAGAAAAAAACACCGTAGCACCACCACACATACAATACACAATGAAGAGGAAACACGCTCGGGAAGAAAATCCGGAGTGATCGGAGTTCAAACTGAAAAAAAGAGGAGAGACTGATCCAAGGCGGCCTGGACCCCTATGTACTAGGAGGTTGCTGCCATTCAGGAGCAGCCTCTCACGTTATTGATCATTTCATATATATATATATATATATATATATTTGCTTCTAACCTTCTTTTCTTCTTTATTCTATTCTATTGATCTTTTATTTATTTATTTTTTAATGATATATATATATATATATATATATATATATTTAAGAACTATTAATAAAATAAAATTTTCTTTTGACAATGAGAGATACTTCTATTGGACCATCATCTAATGTTAGCTATAGAAAACCTATTCATCATGAAAATTTGTCTTAATAAATTCTATTTTAGGCTTCATATCCATTGTTAGCAATCTATTTTCTATTTTTTCTTAAATGTTCTACTATTAACTCACAAAATCTATGATTTTAAGCTTAATAAGTATCCTTTTTATGCTAAATATCCACATGAATCAATTCAATGATTCACACAATATTATCAAATATTGATAAATTGCTATAGATTAGTAAAAGAGTAGGCCCAATTTTTTTGCTAGATAATAGATTGGTTTTATCAAATTATACTCCTTGGGTGATTTTTAATTTGCATTGTTTCAAAATTTAGCAATAAAAATCCATGGTTTTTTTTGTTGCCATCAATGAGAATTTAGACTTTGCAATCATATATCCAAATGTAGTAAAAGTTGGCTTTTCTTGAATTTGTTTTTGATATGGAATGACACCCAAATTAAAGTATGTTGGTATTCTATTTAAAATAAAGGCAATAGTATTTATTACCTTGGATTAGAAAAATTGAAGTCTTTTAACATCAATATATAGTGCTTCAAAAAATTGTTATAATATTGTTATATTTTGGAAAGAATAGTGTATTACAGATAAATTGAATAATGACATGTGAATAATGACATGTGATTTGTATAGCAAATAAAGTACTCCTTTATAGCTACCAAATGAGCCTAGGTTGATAAGAATCCATTAAGTAATTGTAGAGCTATGACCAATCTAATTTGGAATAGTATTAAAACAATTTTTTGTGTGTGGTGTCTAATTTATTGAATCCATCAATTATTCAACATTACAAAATTCTATCATGATCATATTTACTATGACAATATTATTATTAATCTAATAACATCATTAATACTTATTAATAGCTATAAAAATGCTATTCTTAATCACAATTCTTCGCACAGATATATTCCAAATTATCACATTCTAAGACGTGTTAGAAGCTTCTACAAATTTTTAGAATCTTTTAGATATTTCTAAAATCTTCTACAATCTTTTAAAAAGTTCTATAGGCTTTTAGAAGTCTCTTTAGACTTCTAGAATTTTCTTTAGACTTCTAAAAACTTCTATAGAAAGTACCATAGGCTTCTGTAATCTTCATTATAGTATAAATAAGACTCTTTGGAATCACTTTTGCTATTAATTTCATTCTTTGTGTTTAATCTTGACATATTTCTTTGTTAGATTCTTGTGTTCTTGACAGTTTCTTAAACAACTATAAAACCCATTTTGTACTCTCCCCAAGACAACATCACCTCTGCTCTTCTTCATTCTAAAAAATCTGATGACCAAATTAATTTTGAATTTGGCTGTAATAAAGCTATTATTTCTAGGCTTGTAAAAAAGATCACTTTTAATAAAAAAAAGCTTAAATTAGATACATCAAAGAAGGTGACTATAATAGATAAAAGAACAATCATTTGCCAAATCAACATTGAAAAGGCTGAAAATGTTCTTGAGATTGCTAAAAACCTTAACAATATTATCAATAATGTTGTGTCAACTCAAACCATTTAAAATGTTCTCAAGTAATGGAATATAAAAGCCATGGTGAAGAAAAAAAAGCCACTATTATCTATCTATCATTGGAAAAAACTCTTGGATTTTACACTAAAGTACAAGGAATGGACTATAAAGGATTGGAAGAGGGTTATTTGATCAGATGAGACAAAAATCAATAGTTTTGGATCAGATGGCGGAAAGTGGATGTGAAAACAAAAGGATCAATTTTTACTTGATAAGAAGATCTAACAAACAATTAAGTATAGACATAGAAATATAATGGTATAGATTTGTATGGAATGGAATAGGGTTGGGAGGATGGCAAAGGTTGAAGAGAGGATGGATGTTAAGTAATTTGTAGAAATTTTTGAAAAAAACCTGCTTCTTGGCATTAAAGAATCTCACATTTCTGAGGAGGAGGTGATTTTTTAGCAAGATAATGATCCTAAGCATAATTCAAAACTAGTATGGAAGTAGTTTGATCATTATGGAATTAATGTAATGGCTTGGTCTACTCAATCTCTTAATCTTAATTCCATTGGACATCTTTGGAGGTACTTCAAATGCCAGCTCAACACTTTGAAGATAAAACCAAAAAGAATTTGGAAATTATAGAAAAGAATAGCAGAGGAATGAAATAATATTGAAGTAGTTTTATACCAAAAGTTAATAAAAAGTATGCCTAAGAGGTTAGAAGTAGTTATCAAGGCCAAGGAGGTCCTACAAAGTATTGATATGTAATTAGATACCATACTCAAAAAAATGTTTCAATATTATTCCACATTAGATTGATCATAATTTCACAATTACTTAATAGATTCTTTTGAACTTAGGCTCATTTGATAGCTGTAAAAGAATACTTTATTTTCTATATAAACCATGTGTCATTATTTACTATAATTCATCTATAATACACCATTCTTTTAAAAATATGTCAAAATTAAAATATTTTTTTGAATCATTGTGTATACTTTGAGGTTAGTGTTGTAATTTTTTTTTATTAGTGATGGGGTTTTGTTTGGATGTTGCAACATTGCTGATTTGATGAGTTTTGCCAAAAGCTATGAATAAGTCAATCAATTCATCACTCAAGAATTCATTGCATCTATCTAATCTTATAATATGGATCTTTATACTTAGTTATAATTCTACCATGAATTTAAAGATTCTAAAACTTTTGAATGTCTAGGATTTTGTTTATAAAAAATATATCTAAATGAATCAAATAAAATCATTAATTATTATCAAAAAAATATATAATGAACCTTCTGAAGAATGAGTCAGCAAAGGTTAGCAAAGGTTGATAAGTAGCACTTTTAGTATCTTATTGGCCCTACTTTGAATAGCTATTGGAAATAAGGCCGTCAATTGTTTGTCCATCTATCATATCTTACATACCTTGTTAAAGATTTGAATGTAACAAAGATCCAAAACATGTTTTTAGAGCTTATTTGATGAAGTATTTTCAAGTTAATATGTCCTAGGTACTTATGTCTTAACTTCACTAAGTTTACCAAAAAAGTAGTATTTTTTGCTTGAATGTCAACTTTTTGGATTATTAGTTAATAAAATCCATTCTTAGGATTTTTTTTTCCTTTTACAATAATATTTTTTGATCCTTTGCTATACAATATATACTTCTTTTTATCAAAGCATGTAATAAATCCTATCTTGATTATTGAATCTATTGAAAGAAGGTTTTTTTTAAGGCGTGGGACATACAAAATATTGAATATGCTCTTTATCGTCCTATAGGATAAGGTGAAATTTATAGATGCATGGCCAATAATGGCATGATTTTGCCTTCTTGTGGTTCTATCATTTCTTTTGTATTTTTTTAAACTATCAAAAGAATCTGTGCTTCCACTCACATGTTTTATGGCACTTGAATTAAGGTACCATCCAAAGTCATCTCCTTGGATATCTAATGAAAAAATAATTTTTTTGAAAACATCTTTTTGGTCAAAGAAATCTATATTTTAGCAAATATTTGAGCTCATATAAGAAGGTTCCATAACTCCTCAAGCATGTGATTGGTTAATAACTCATTGAACTGTAGATACTTACCTGCACTTATATAATGTTGCAAGAAGTAGTCGTAGCTATCTAGTATGTTTTTGATTACAATATGCTTCTTAATTTGTTGAAGTATAGCTCAAATCTAGACTCCTTGATCATGGTAATAGGCAAAAATTTATTTTTTAAATGGTATTTTTTTATTGTCTGGGTTGATCTTATAAGTGCAGGTAAGTCTCTTTGAGAAAGTCTCAGAGATTTTTGGATTGTGAAAGCTGGTTAAATTGCCCATCAGATCTGGTCTGATGGAGTAAACAGGAATGTTGAGTATTGCCTCCTTCTTATCTTTGTTAGTTCAATTCTTGTGATCTCTTGCTGTACTGATAAATATAAAATAAGAAAAAGAAGGTACAAATAGTATTTCTATACTTTCTTGTTCTCAAGCAACTGAAGCATTGATCAACTTGATTATTTTTGCAGATGTATTTCTTTATGCAATCTCGGCCACATCTACATCTATCTGCTTCATGCTCACATCTGACCCAGAGATGACAGTTTTAAACCTGCACATTAGTATTCAATTTGTAGAATCAGAACCAGAGAAGACAGCTCATCAGTGATGTTACAAGCTGTAAATACAAATGTGTAAGGGATCAAGAATTGCAGGAATTGGATAATTTGAATAACT